AATGCAGTTCCTACTATCTCTGAAACAAGTTAACAAAAAGCTCTCTACTGTCCAGCCACAGTCACCTTAGAGAAGGTGATAGTAAATTTTTTTTTGAATACCTCTGGTCTTTTCCAAAATTTCATTCATGGGGTGTGGACTTTGTTGACTGGGCCAGTATTTATTGCCCATCTACAATTGTTCTTCAGAAGTTGGTGGTGAGGTGCCTCCAGAACGGCTGCAATCCTTAGGTGTAGGGACTCTTAAAATGCTGTTAGGAAGGGAGTTTTAAGATTTGGACACAGTGACAGTGAAGGAACAGCAACATAGATCCAAGACAGCATGGTATGTGATGATTTGTGATGATACTCAGGTATTCCAGTATTTGAATCCAGAAATGACAAAGAAGCAGCAATTTACATTCAATTTAAGACAGTGTGTGACTTGAGGGAAACTTGGAGGTGGTTTCCCTACACACGGCAGGGAAATATTTTCTCCTAATTTTCTAGCATTAATCTTACAATAAAAATAAAAACTGAAACAGAACACAATAAAGACATTTTTTAAAAATTGCTGTTGGAAATGACATTAACATTCCTTTCAAAAAGGGCTCATTTGAAGAGGCTGTGTGTTGGATTATGAAGGTGATTCAGCACTGGCACAAAGGCAGAAGCTTCCATCTAAGACTCAGCTGGTTAATAATGGGATCAGTCCCAGATAAAATTTGTGTTCCATTATAAAATATAGTCTCCCTTTCCTCGAAGTACAAATAAAAAATTAACCTGGTATAATTGCTGGAAACATGTTTATGTAAAGTCCATGCCGGCATATACATTAGGAGCAGGTGTAGGCCATTCAGCCCATTGAACATGCTCTGTCATTCAACAAGATCATGGCTGATCTGATATAGGTATCAACTCCATACTCCTGCCTACTCTTGATAAACTTTGAAGAAATTATTAAAAAGACAGCAGAAACAGCTGTCTTCCATGTGGGTGCATAACACAATAGTTCAACGATAATATTGAGTGGCTCTTTTGACCAGCCAATCCTGAACTTGCTTAAATGTTTTAGGCTTTGCCACTTCAAACTGGGAAGGATGTCAAATATGATATTTGAAATCATATTCACTTGCTGATTCCTTTTCATTATTCATTTTTCACATGCATATTTGCAATTGCCTTTTCTTTCACTACTATTGCAAAGGTTACTTCTGACAGCACATAATTTTTCTTACTTCCATACTGAGTCTCCTTCACATACCCATCCCACTACTACTTTTCTCAGTTCCAGCATTATTTCATACAAGACAGGTCAACGTTCATTTTCACATCTTTTTGATAGTGTCAACATTGCTTTTGTAGACCTCAGGTATGGTTAGTTCTTTTCTTCCCAGTGCTGTGATTTTTAAAATAATTCTTCTCATTACTTATCCATAATGAGTGAGATATTGCAAGAGATCTCACAAATTAACTATTTTATGCTTCTACCATCTTCCTTATTCATTTGTGGAATGTGGGTGTCGTTGGCTGGCCAGCATTTATTGCCTGTCCCTAGCTGCTCTTGAGAAGGTGGTGGCGAGCTATTAATCTTGTTATGGCCTGATTTTAAAAAGGTCCACATCAAGAAAGAAAGAAATTCTCCTCTTTTAACCATCACCTGCCCACACACAGACACCCACGCCCACACCCGCATGCGCACGCGCACACACACACACACACGCATAGATGCCCACACACCTTTCCTTGGTAATTATGTAGGTGAATAAGTTCAATTTTTTGCTGTCTCTGACTCTGATGCACAATCTGAGATATTTGTGAACTCAGGGGAGTAGTTCAGCTAAGTTTCAATTTCCCAGGTAATTCCCTAAAAAGTCATTGCGTTGAGGCCCCTGAGGTGGCCTGCAGCATATCCTGGGGGTATGTCCAGTCTATGTCTATGTGGAGAGCAGAAGATCTGTGTCAGTATATTTTCAATCTGAAATAAAAGCAGAATCTGCTGGAAAAGGTCCGCCATGTTAGGCAGCAACTGTGAACAGAGAAATTTCTCTCCCTGGGAACCTGTTGCTTAACCTACTGACCGTTTTCCAGCATTGTCTCCTTTTCTAGCATTCAAAGTTTTCTGCTTTTCAAATTATATTTTAAGTTTTGCAAAGAAATCTGTTTTGGCAGATGTTGAAGCAGAGCCCACAAATGATTTTAAAAGTGGATAAAAAACGAAGAACTGCGGATGCTGGAAATCTGAAATAAAAGCAAAATTATCGAATCTCTACGGTGTGGAAACCGGCCATTCAGCCCTTCGAGTCCGCACTGATCCTCTGAAAAGCATTCCACCCAGACTCATCCCATTCTGTAACCTTACATTTTCCACAGCTAACCCATCCAGCCTGCAAAACCCTGGGTACTATGGGCAATTTAGCATGGCCAATCCACCTGATCTGCACATTTTTAGACTTTGGGAGGAATTTGGAACACCCAGAGGAAGCCCAAGCAGATACGGGTATAATGTACAAGTTCCACACAGTTACCCGAGGGTGGACTCAAACCCAATCCCTAGGATTGTGAGACAGCAGTGCTATGCACTGAGACACCATGCCACCTACAGTGAGAGAAAATGCTAGACGAACTCAGCAGATCTGGCAGTATCCATAGAGAAAGGAGCAGAGTTAACGTTTTGAGTTCATTCTGACGTTTCTTCAGAACTTCTTCCAAAAAACAGTCATATTGGACTCGAAATGTTAACTCTTGGTTCTCTCTCCATAGTTCAAACAAACTTGTGTTTGTTTGGTCCCTTAATATGGCAAAAAAAATCCTAAAGCTTTTACTATAATGTTTGCAGATTGTCTTTTTTTCCCTATGGTATTTCTAAGTCTCTATCAGGAGAATCTGTGGAT